CCCTACCCTGGGGGTCTTCAAGAGGAGGTTAGATAACCATCTAGCTGGGGTCATCTAGACCCAGCAGTCTTTCCTGCCTATGCAGGGGGTCGGACTCTGATCTATTGAGGTCCCTTCCAACCCTAACATCTATGAATCTATGCTTTCCCTGAGGTCTCTGGGATTTGCAGTCCAGAATCACAACAGCAGGATTCTGCAGGGTTGCTCATCACTTCCTCTTCGTGTGCACAGTCACAGCCAACAGTAAGTTTAGCAGAGTAGGGCAGCCCTGTGCTCAGGGGAAGTTGGGTTTAACCCTTCTCCCTGGCCCCAGACCCCAGCTGGGGTTTGCTGGGGAGGGCAGTCCCTGTCCTGCCTGCTCCCACACCCCACAATCCTTTTCTGCTGGAGCAGGCTACACAGTCCAGCCCAGGGCTGCAAAGCATGCTGGGATGCTTGGGGACTGTGATTTAACTTGAATCAGGAAGGGGTCTGGGACAGAAGTTTCTTAAACTGTTTTGACCCAAATCAGTTAAGCCTGATACTACATTCAACCAGGTTTATCTTAAACCAGTTTCAGCCATTTTGAAACTGGTTTATGTGCACTGAGCTCTTGTTCTGTTACAAGTTTAAACCAGTTTCTGATTACGTAAGCCAGTTTATGTGTAACTTCTGTCCCTAGCCCTGATTCAAAATGTTTCTACATTCATCACAGGCTGTACCAGTTTCTGGTGGGGACAGAATCCTGCAGTCTGGAGAAATGCAGACACTCTGCTGTTTCAGCAATTTATTATCCTCAAATCTGTCAAAAATACTGATCTTTAGTTATGTGCCATACTAGTGAGTCCTTTATACATATAGAAGTAGTGTTAGAAAGCATAATTAGTAAGATGCTTGTAGCTTGTGGACGAGACAGTAAATATAATCATAGGATTCTAACTTGCCAAATAGTAAAATTAAGTGTGAACAAATTGATTTAGAATTTTTGTTTGAATATTTCACTTTAGGTTTTTTTCAATATACCTATCACAGTGGTATGTAAGCCAGTTATATGTAACATTTCTTATGAATCAGTTGAATGTGAAAAAAAGAAAAGAAAATAATAATAAGCACAATAAAAATATTTAGCATAATACCTAGTAAGGGTTTGGAAACTCTTATCAGGAATGTCTTTTCACCACTGGATAAATTAATATTGAATATTCACAAAATATTCTTCAGTGTTTCAAGTAAAGTCAAGTTATTGGCATTGCCTACTTGCTGAGGAGTTGAATTTTACCCAGTAGTTTTAAGTAAAAAAGTAATTTAAAAAAATGGAAAAGAGAATAGCTAGGAAAATTATTTTAAATTGGAAGAAATGCTTTGGAAGAGTGAAAGACACAAGATGTGTACTGATTTAGGCTATAAAAGAGAAGGTTAAAGTATGATTTAATCTGCCCTTGAGGGCTCTGCAGTTTAATACTGAAAAGATCCCATAAGTAGAATTTGAGACTAAAGGCACAATTTTTTTAACAGAAACAAAATAGTTGTAGGAAATGGTTCCATTACTGGAAATTTTAAACTCAAGATTGGATATTTTCCCAGTTTTGAAAATACTTTAGTTTAGGGGTTCTCAGGAAGCTTTCCTTGCTTTCCTGAGCTGCTGGATGGCAGCAGCAGGGAGCCTGCACGCAGCAGCTGCTACTGCCATCCACCACTCTGTGCCGCCACACCCCGCTTCCCTGCACCACCGCGTGTACCCCCTGGGAAGTCCCCTTTGCAGCCCCCTTTTAACTTGCTTGTGATCCCTCAGGGGTTGCGACCCACAGTTTGAGAACCCCCGCTTTAGTTAAAACTATAATTCATGCAAGTCCTGTGCTCTGTATTATTCAGGAGGTCAGACTAAATGAATCACAATGGTCTCTTTTTTTGTTATAAGCCATGAATCTTTGAAGAAAGACCCGAACAAAACATTCAGAAGAAAATCTGAACCATTTCAGTTTCTTCACAGTCTCAGAAAATGGCATAGCTTAAGAGCAAGGATGTTGTAAAAAATCTGTGTAAAGCATAAGTTTTCACTCCAGTCTGTGTCGAGTCAAATGAATGAATGTCAGCCACTAACAACTAGATAGCAAAGCAACAAAAAAAAAAAGATTAAAACTGTGGGTCAGCGCAAGTATTAATTGCACCCCCAAGTCAATGTACTATATCACTACCAGACTCAAGATAAATTTATTAGCATGCTTTTCTGTCAACAGAAATAACATACAGTAAACTACATATATTTTTTAGCATTCACGGATCATAACAAAACTTTAGAATACTGCAGTTCTTATGTAGGCAAAGTTCCCAATGACTTCAGCATGTCTGTATGATGGTTGTTGTGGGTTCTGTTCTTTAATTTAGAGAATCTGAATTTGTAAACATTTAAGAAAGTATGTTGAAGAAGTAGTCTGCAGACCTACTGATTTTAAGGGAAAATTCATCCGTTAAAAATCCCTGGCTTTTATACAATCTTCTAGACACTGTTAGGAAAGTAGTGTGTAAAATGTTATCCTCCTAAATGAGGGTAATTATGATGGTGTTTGTGGGAGAGAGAGAAAGAGAATGTGTGAAGATAAACATTCTGGTCCACGGAGAATATAAATTGTGTGTTTTTTGGATTAAGGATGTGTTTCTTAACAGATGGATTAGAAAAATTGACGCTTCTGAATTTGAACAACAACAGGCTTAAATATCTTCCTCCAGAAATACACAGGTAATTTTGATTATGAAAGAGTTTCTCAAAGCTGTACAAATTATATTAATGTACAGTGTATTTGGTTTGGATGTATTATTTACCTCATCATCATTGTGGCAAACTACTACTTCTAATTGCTGGGGAAGTTTTATGACTTTTTACTATATAGCTGAGCAGCAAGAAATGAAATCCGTAATTTTTTGACTTGTTATTTTTTAAAGCACTGCACTATTTTCTTTTAATTTTTCTCTCTCACAGTCAGGTTGTCTTTTTGATACCTTTCTTGAAAGGGATGTGACATGAGGTCTTTTCATTCCTGTGGAAACACTTAAAGGTTGAGAACAACAGTTGTGATCCAGCTCTTAGAGTTAAAGAGCCAATCTTTTTAATGTTGTCTTTGAGTTTGTTGATGTTTGCATATTATCTTTTAATATATGCTGAACTAGAACATCTAAAATATTTACTTTGAGTACCACAGATGTAACTTTTGTTTTTTATGGAATGAACTGAGGTACAATAATAACATTTCTTTTTACAGTTTATCACAAAGTCCTTTTAGAACACATTTTTTCCCCCAAATATTTTGCAATGTAAAGTTGTAAACTTAATTGCAAAACTTGAATTTGTGAAATTAAAAATCATTATTGGTACTATGGCCGTGCCCTCTTGCTTTAGGTGATATAAAATGTATGGGGAAGCGAAAGCCCTTCTCTTGAAAAGGTTATTGCTCAGAAGATTCAACCTCTCTCATCTTCTTTCCCTTAACCCTACCCATGAGGGAAGGCACCAGAAGTGGTCTGTTACTGGTTTTAAAAAGCCATGGACAGGTGAGGGGCTAAAATCGTATTAATGCAGAAAATATTTGGAACAGGGTATCCACAATCCTTCCCCAGTTTAACTGTTATTACTCAGTAGTATTTGGATTTGTTTTGTGCCCTTTCTGAGGTGGCCACTTTGGCTGTGGACAGATGTGCATTTGTAGCGCTACAAAATATAGTGCTATTTATAGGGGGGTTCAGAGCTCCCTAACTAGAGCACTGCAAAGTTGCCATGAAGGCATGCTCTAACTAGGGGGCAGTAGGGATTTGCTCCTCTGCTCTGCCACCAGGGAAGAGCAACTCAACAGGCTGTCACTGATCAATGGGCACTGGTGCCTGCTGCTGTGGTGAGCAGAGCTGCAGTCCCCCAGTCCTAACTAGGCTCTGAGCTCTGTACTCTGGGATTCTGGTAGAGCAAGAGACCTAATGCATGGGTGGGCAAAATACGGCCTGCAGGCCAGATCTGGCCAGTGGAGTGATTTTGCCTGGCCTGCAGCGGGTCCCTTGGCCCCTATGCGTGGTGCTGGGGCACCCCCGCCCCATGCCAGCCCACAGCTTGTCCCTGGATGGTGACAGCAGCCTGCAGCCCCACTGGGTCAGTGTGGGGTGGAGCAGAGTGGTGCAGGGGAAGTGGCAGGAGCCCCAGTGAGGTTGCTGTGTCCAAGGCCAGAGCCAGGGGCCGATATCCATGGAGACCGTGGGCAGCTGGGCAGGATCTGCATCTGGGGCCGATGTTCATGGAAACCAGCCCTCAACCCTGGTCCCAGATGCAGTGCCCTCACCAGGGCTTCTGCCACTGCCCCTTCACTGCTCCACCCCACACTGAGCTGGCAGGGCTGTGGGCTGCTGCCACCCTGCAGGCATCCTGGGGTGAGCTGCAGGCTGGCACAGGGTAGGTGATCCCAGCATCGCTTGCCTCCCCTCGCCCCAGCCTGGTCCTGGCTGCTGCAAGTGGCAGGGTGTGAAGTCGCTGCTGGGTGCATCCTTCTTCCCTCAACTGCGTACTGCCAGGGGAGGGGAGGGAAGAGGGAGGCTAAGTTCCTCCTGAGCCTCCTCTGTGGGGCTCACAGCCCTCCTCTCCCCCTCATAGGTGCTGAAGCCCCCCAGTGAGGCGCAGCAGTGGCTTCCAGCTCTGCCCAACCCTGCGCTGTCACTGCTTCAAGATTCTGGTCTTGGTACCGGATACAACTCCAGGGAGCCTGTACACAGACAGGATGGGTGGAAAGCTGCGCCTGGTGCTGGGGCCAGGATCTTGGGCGCAGGGCTGGGGCAGGGCAGGGCAGGGCTGCAGTCCACTCTCTGCACACCTCTGGCTGTGGTACCCATGTCCGCTGCAGGGGTGTGCTGGCAGTGGATTGCATCTCTGGCCCTGCCCCGGCCGTGGCCCCACACTGTCACCACCTTGCAACACTTCCCTGTGATCCCAGCCTTGCCTGCCCCTCCTGCTCCTGAACACCACTGTCCAGGGCCCCATTCCACATAAGGAGTTTTAGTGAGTTGTTGCGTGGCGGGGTACTGGGTGCTGACCTGGCCCATGACAGCTCACCAAAATAACTTAAGTGGCCCAGGGCCCAAATAATTTTCCACCCTGGCTGTAACATTATATGCAACTATTCAGACATTATATATGGTGCTACAGGGTGCTACAAAGAATTCCTGTTTCATCAAATGTAGTACTACAGAGAATTCCTGTTTCATCCAGGAACGTTTCTGTAGGGATTTAGATCCTATTTTGAACATGTTTCCAAGACCTTTCATTTTCTTAATTTCATAACTTCACTACCCACTGCCTTCAGTAGCGCTTCCATTGCAGCCTGCACTGCTAGTAACTCGAGCCAGGAGGAGGTCCTCATTTGCATTCTGGAAAGGAAGGCAAAAGTACAGCAGACACTTCAAGAAAGCCAACGTGGCCAGGATGATTATGATGCCATCACTGTTGTTGGCTGCTAGGGGACCCCAGCAGAATGAGCAGCAGTGCAGGGCACAAAGCCAAGGAATTCCAGGTGTTGGTACAAGATGCCTAGGTTTGTGAGCTTCCACGTGGGTGTCGACCATACTATATGCTCTTTCTACAAAGAATTTAGAATGATCCTGGCAGGGGATGAGCCACAATAGAGTCATATTTCACGACGTATTGAATCACAGTTTATGGTTAATTCGGGATGTGACCCAGACAAGAAACACATTAGTAGTGCAGGCAGGCCTAAGGTCAAGGAAGTCCTGAAGAGTTAGGAACTTCACAGATTTTAGGAGCCCAAGCTGTCATTTTGGCTTTCTGAGGTGAGCTCAGAGAATCTTGAGTCCACAGATGCTGAGGCCATGTTAATGCAACCCCAGCCATCTGCTGTCCAAATATCTACCACCCCAAGTTCATTGACAGAGGATTCCTGTACACTGATGGGGGCAGTAAATGAGCATGGTTTGTATGGCAGTCTTTTCTGGTTCAAGTGGCTCTTTTAGGCATCCCCACCCCGATCCTTTCTACTTGCAGAGTGGTTGGCTGGTGTAGATTGCACATGGAGTCATCTTTGCCCCATTTAGAAATTGTGTCCAAGGACTCAGCAGGTAGTGTACTAACTCAGCTCTTACATTTCTGGGGAACATGGAAGTTTCCTTAGTTCCAGAATAGGGCCTCTGTTCCTATCCAGAAATGCTTTGGAGGAAGAAGCCCTCCTTCCCTTTAATTAGTCAAGATGTTCTGACCTGAAAGTTTAACTTCTCTTTTCCATAGTTGGATAAAGGTGCTTTTTTCTTAGTGACATTCTAAATTATTTTCAGTGCATTTTGAACAGAAAAATAAGCATATCAAAATTGTCTTAGCAGCATTGAGGAAAATGAAAAAGCTCCAGTACATTCAGCAAGAGCAAAAAAAAAAAATTAGAATGAACAAATTTGGAATGGTAACTTTTACCAGCATTTGCAGTCACCAGCTATTCTCATCTGCTGTGCCTGTTACACCTCTCATCCCTGACTGTTATTTTGCTGATTTCCATGTTGAGTATGGCCCAAGATATTTTCCTTTTGGAAAAATATTAAGATCTACTTCAGAACAAACTATTTAAAAATAAACATTATTTCATTCTTGCATTTTCATTTGATTTTCATTTCTCCCCATTTATTTGCATTTTCTGACCCTGAAATGTAGGACCAAATCTGTTCTGTCTATAAGCCATCTACATGCAATCCTATTATATATGTAATATTTGGAATTCAGAAGGCATTTCCTGTCTGCTTTAAATGGCTCCAAAAAATACCCACACACAGCCAAATCCTTTGTTTTGAGAGTCTGTAATAAAAGCAGTCAGACAAGTTATGATTAATTGCTATTTACATATCATATGAATACTTTATAATAGACTTAAATCCCTTAACAATTGCCCACCATATGTTTCATATAAATATATTTAAACAGGTATGTCATGAAAAATAGAACACATCCCTGTATAGGAAATTTTTCAATAAAAGTTGCAATTGTTCCCTGTACTGCAAGTTATATCAAGTCTGTACAACAAAATACTTTATTCATTTTACAGGTTAGAAAATCTGGAATACATGAGTTTAAATAATAATCAGATAGGAAGTATTCCCAAAGAGCTATGTTCCCTGGAAAAGCTTTCTGAACTCCATCTGTCCTACAACTGTCTTATCATGGTACCTGAAGAGATTGGATACATGACAAACCTCAGGATGCTGTGCTTGTCAAGAAACCAGATAGAGGTTCTTCCAGATGTGAGTAATCCTGCGCTAACATACTTTCTCTTTCAATTAATGTGCATATTTTAATAAAACATTTGAATAACAAATTTTTAATGGTGTGTGTTTTCAGATGTACCTTAACAATGTATGCCTACAATCACTAAAACTCGTTTGATAATTTCACTCTCAAAGATGTTTATTTAAATACTGTTTTCTTGAGGCTATTTGGAAAATAGAAATTTAAAACTAATTTATTAATCCTTGCAAATAGGAACAAAGCCTAAAATGGACAAGTAGGGGCCCACATTTTCTAAGCACAGGCACCTATCCTGTCTGTCTTTAGGTATGGCAACATAAACAATTTACCACAAGGCAGGCTAGGACATAAATTTGCTGCATATTAGCTACTTGATGGTAGCTATCGATGTGCACAGTCTTATCCTGTAGTACATGTGAGATGTCCCATTTTTTGAAGCAAGATAAGTTACCTCACTTTACTTATGGGTTCAGACTATCCACATGGCTAGTTACTGCAGAGTAATTAACACCCTGTAAATACATACCCTAATTTATCATATGATGACTCCATGTAGCCATAACATTTTTGCTTTGCAAGTGCTGGCAAAGTTGGTAAGTTACGTTCATGCCATGTGTATGTATTGATTTAATTTTTGTGAATATAGAGACTGAGAGGCCATTTATGAAAACTTTCTTTCTGTTAATTTAGAAAATCAAGCAAGAGATCTGTACTTAAAAACCTGTTAACTAGTATCCTGACTTTCAGGAGTCCTGAGCAATCAGAAATTTCACTGAAAGTTAAGGGAAACTGCAGGTAGTTAGTGCCCTGGGAAATATTATTTTTAAATTTCTCTTATACTATAAGTAAAGGTTTGAGATAATTTTATGAAATAAAATTCAGTAACATCACTAATTGTGAATCTTTACTTGATGTCTGAACAAATAAAGAACTGGAAGCAACTAATGTAAGTTCATTTTATTAATTATTCTGAGAAATGCTGGACATGAAATAAATAATGTCAGCTTTCTTAAAATATGGGTCCTTTAACGAAATGTATCATAGCTGTGTTGCTTCAGGAAGGATTTGGCATAAATAAATGAAGTTTAAAATACTTTTGTAGTCTGTTTTATCATCAAAACTTTCTACCTCTTTTAATGGCCAAATATACAACAACATTTCCTCAGTCAAAATTAGAAGCCTTGGTTTGCCTTGGTGAAGCCTAAAATAAACATCTAAAATGTGTTATATATCTTATCTTAAAACTCTTGAGCTCTTGCATATTCCAGTTAGCTTTTAGGGAGAAGGAAGAGCCTCTAGTTTTTATTCTGAATCAGGTTCCTTGCTTTGAGACTTTTTTTTTTGTGACACTGCTGCTTTGCTGTCTGATATGCAGATGCATAAGTGCTGGCATAGTTAGGAAGTATGTATTTATACCGTGTGCAGACGTACAAAGCCCCGGACCTTTGGAAAATTTGACCTTAAATGAGGACCCATTGAGAAATTTTATCTTACCTTTAGTTTAGTGGTGTGTAGCTTTTATTTGTGTTCCTTTTTAGCTAGAAGTAAAGATAAAGGAGAAATATATCATTCTAAACTAATCAGAAGAAAAAAAGTTATATTTCTTCTATGACTATAAGTGAATGGTCTTCAACTTCAGATCTTAGGAGTATGGCATACATACTATTGCGACCAAGCCTGATTTGTACAGCTTTTGTAGTAGGCTATTCTGATTGAGGCTTGTTCTGTTGCTTGTTCTGTGGGTGCTCAGCAGTATGTACATCAAGGAGAAGAAAATAAGGTTTTGAACATGCAAAGTTTATATTTGATGCTTTATTTTGTTTACTGTGGGTTTTTTTATTTGTATATTACCTTAATTGTACTGACTTTTGCAGGTAACAAAACAAAATGAATCTATGAAGCCTGCTATAATAGAAAATGTTGAAAAAAGGCTGTTAATACCATTATATCTTGGCAGCTGCTTGTAACTACTATTTAATTTAGCAATGAAAAAACTTGGAAAAAATAACAGCATAAACTAAAATCTTATGTATCTTTCTATCCCATGTTCCACCAGAAATAAGAAATGGTAATTGAGTGAGATTGGGAGATAGGGCCTATTGGTAATTTTAGAGATTCAGGCTCTCCATTTAAAAGTTGTTGTTTACTGGACAAAGGAGCCTAAGAAATGTGGATTTACAGACTATCTGGATCCCTTTGTAGTGAAAGAAAGAGGCTGTGACTGAGAAGAGGAGGTATTGGATGTATCTACACATACGCTTCACTGCGGAATTGACTAATTGGCTCCATAGTAAAATATCAAAATCTACACATGTGCCAGTATTAGGGTGCAGTAAATTAGTTAACTCTGCTGTAGGACAGTACTGTCAGAGACAGTGCTGTCCTACAACAGAGTAATTACTGTGCTGAAATGCATGTTTAGACGGTGACAGGGGCTTGCTGGGGCACAAGCACGAGGGATGCCTGCTGTCTAGCCCTGCACTTCAGCACCTTTGTTCACAGTGCTGTGGTCCTAGGCGCATGTGTAGATATTGCACCATAACTAATTCATAATAAGGTGAAGGATTGGGAGATAGAGGTCCTTGGAAATTTTGAAAAATAACTCAGGATTGATTCTTTTAGTGTTAACAGCAATGACAACTTTGAGAGGCAAGGATTTCTTATGGTAATATTTTTTTTATTGGACTAACTATATATTTTGGATGAAGATAGATAAGCTTTCAAATGCAAGATATTCTTCATCCGGTCTCATTTAAAAGCTTGTCTAACTTTATCTCAGTTACATAGTTGGTTTGATAAAAGCTATCGCCCTAAGAAATGCTTGCTTCTTGCATAATTTCGAGACCATCTTGGCTGCAACATTACTCTTACGCTATCTTCTTTCTAATTCATTTTGAGTTTTCCTCTTTTTTTTTTTCTTATTTTAATCAGATAACTCAGGCTTTCTTCATCAACCTTATCACTGATTGATACCTCTGATATGACAGTCTTATCTATGAGGAATTTAACTTATTGGTCTTCCCCCCCCCCTTTTTTACCAAATTGTTTTCTACCCATTTACTCCTAGGGGCTTTGTAAACTGAGGAAACTAAGAATTCTAGATGTAGCGGGAAACAGAATTCGGGTGTTTCCAACAGCAGTAAGTATTATTTTCCTATAATTTGTTCACTAACAAAATTTTCCTAGTGCAATTCTTAGATTAAATGCATAGGCAATATATGCAACTTGCAAAAATTGATACCATGAATGTTACAGAGCAGTGAGTAAAAAGAAAATAAATATGTAGAGTTGCATAGAAATCCAACAGCATCGAACTGGAGATAGCAAAGTTATGTAAACTAGTATTTATGTGTTGTAAATATTCCATTCAAGGTACCAAAAGTAACATAGCCAATCTGGTTGATCAAAATGTGCGAGTCAAAGTTGTCAGTGTCCTTCCAGTTGCTGAAGAATTTTTGTCTCTAAAAGACACATATTTGAGCACAATTTTACCAGTGTGCACACTGTTATGATTGGAGTATTATACAAATCATGGCCATTCTTTTGAGTAAATTTAGTACTACATGTAAACCACTGATCATGAGGGAAGAGGAAGAAGAATCCATTGCTAGAGTCGAAAGGAAATTACACCACACTCAAATGGCATAATTTGTAATTTAATCTTTGTCTTTTTGTTTTCAGTATCCGCTGATAAATACATTTTAACTTGATATACCAATAAACTGTGTGTTTCTGGAGTGCATTCTCTGTTTTGGACCAGGTGGCAGTCTTTTACTGTTCACTTTTATCAATGTTCTGGGTCATGTCCTTTTTAACAGCTTGGCTATTTTGAGTCACTACTGAGACTGGGGACTGAAATTCTTTTGCTTCAACTACTGTAACTTTTCAGTTCCTTTGGATTTGCTGTTTCTGTCATTTAAATTATTCATGTGATAGGTCCCTGTTTCCCAGACTGAAGAATATCTCTTGCTCAGTACCGCCCCAATTCTTTGTATCTTCTATTGCTTGTTACTATGTTGTGTTAAAACAAGTAGAAATAAGGACATTTTGGGGGGAAAAAATTGGTATAACTTTTTGAAGTGGTGTGTTTAGTTTTGATTATAAACGTGCATTAATAGCAGTAATCAACTGAGGGCACCACTGCGTTGCTTTTTTTTTCCCTCAGAGGCTGCAATTACCTTTTTGCAGCCCTTTATGGATGTGAAACAGCAGGGAAGTTTGTCTGAAACATTCTTATATAGGACAAAACAAGAAGGGTTGAGCTTATTAAATTTGGTCCTAAACCTGGAACCTATTCATTTGTATCAGTCTGGACTCATATAGATAGGCCTGTTGATGTGTTGAATCAGGACAACTTTATTTGGCATCAAGGCCAAAAGAATATATAACATTATAATAGTTCTAATTATAAGGACTGATTTTATTCTCACAACATCATCGTGGCTTTCTCAGTTGCCTTGTTGAGTTATGTGGAAAATTATCCAAAATTCATCTTCTAATCTGAAGTTGAAAACTGGCAAAAATTAAAACATCTACTTTCTATTTAATGATCAGTAATTAATGACACAGACTGCCGACAGTTACTTATTATAGAATATACAGTTTATTGAATGCATATATGTATTACTTTAATATTGTCCCTAAACAGGGCAGAGTTGGAGCCTTGGCAAATAATGGGAATGTGGTTTTTGGCATTGCAGCCTGCACTCCTCCATGTCTATCCAGCTTTTGCTGTCAAGAGATAGTGGGTTGATGCCATGGTCCAACTTCCATTGGTGTGACTTGTGCTAGTAGGGATCACTCCCTGTGTATTGGGTAGTGCATAGGTGTAGTTATGCCCAACTGCTGTGCAGAGGAGGAAGCTGTGCATGACATGAATTCTGGTTGATAGTTTAGAATTATGAAAATGCTATATTGCTTCTGTGAGTATGTACCTCACCTTGCTGATATGACAGTAGTGGCTTGTTAATGGTGGTCTGTTGCCGTGGAAAGTGTGTAGAGCAGGGGTCGGCAACCCCCGGCACGTGTGCCATGCGTGGCATACGAGGTCATTTTCCTCGGCACGCGTTGGGCCTGGGGAGGCAGCAGCTGTTTGCAGCCTCCTGGCTGCAGCCGGCCCCAGCTCTGGGTAGCTGCTGCCAGCTGGGAGCCTGGGCTGCTCCCAGCAGGCAGCTTGGATGCTGCAAGCCCTGCTGGGAGCAGCCCAGGCTCCGTGACTATCAGCAGCTACCCAGAGCCCAGGCGGGCTGCAGCCAGGAGGCTACAAACAGCTGCTGCCCTCTCACCCCAGCCCTGGCCCCGGCCCCAGCTGTCTCCTGGCCCCAGGCTCCAGGAAAGCAGCAGGTGCCAACACTACACCCAATGGGGCCGGGGCCGGGGAGGCAGCAGCAGTTTGTAGCCTCCCGACTGCAGTGAGCCCTGGCTCTGGGTAGCTGCTGATAGTCACGTAGCCTGGGCTGCTCCCATGGAAGCCCTGCTGCAAGCAGCCCGGCTCCATAGCTATCAGCAACTACCCAGAACTTGGGTCAGCTGCAACCATCTGCTGTCTCTCAGCCCCAGATCTGGGCCCTGGACTCCAGGTGGGGAGGAGCAGCTGCCCATACCGGCAGTGCTCTCTGCTGTGCTGCCCTCGCCGATTCTGCAAAGCAGTGTTGGAACCTGGAACGGCAGGGCACAGCAGTGGGGCAGAAAGCTGCCTGCTTCCTGCTGCCCTGCCACACTTCCCGTGCAGGCAGGGACAGCAGTGAGGGGTACAATTCTGCGCTGCTGCCCACTCTGCTCCCGTGCACAAAGGGGAAGTGTGCTCAGCGTGGAGCATTGTCAGTATGTGCTACGTCCCTGGATCCCGGGGCTGGGCCTGAGGCTGGGGGTGGGGTGGAGAGGCAGCAGATGTTTGCAGCTAGCCCAGGTTTTGTGTAG